TCTCTCTCTGCCTGCTTCTCTGCCTACTTGTGATCTCTGTCTGTCAAATAAATAAATAAAATCTTAAAAAAAAAAAATTTAGGATTTTAAGTTTAGTATATCCAATAACCTTTAATTTGTTTTTAAGATTTTACTTATTTCTTCATTAGAGAGAGTGAAAAGAGTGAGCAAGCACACAAGCAGCGGGAAGAGGGAGAGGGAGAAGCAAACTCCCCACTGAGCAAGGAACCTCACACAGGGCTTGATCCCAGGACCCTGGGATCATAACCTGAGCCGAAGACAGACGCTTCACTGACTGAACCACCCAGGCGCCCCCACACAGCTTTTATAGTGAAAACACAATGCCTTTCACAAACAGCAAAACCGCACAGCCTTTTAAGAGAAAAAAAATCTGTAGAGGAGGAAATAGCAAGGAATTCTGCAAATGTGATGCTATTCTCTCAGCTCCTGACAGAATTCTGGGAGATGCACAGAAATTTTTCTTTTTTTAAGATTTTATTTATTTGACAGAGAGACAGTGAGAGAGGGAACACAAGCAGGCAGAGTGGGAGAGGGAGAAGCAGGCTTCCCACTGAGCAGGGAGCCCCATGTGGGGCTGGATCCGACCCACGCCGAAGGCAGACACTTAAGGACTGAGCCACCCAGGCTCCCTCGTATTTATAACTTTTAAGAAAAAATTACAATAAAGATCACGGGTCCTGAAAATTTCTATGACTTTTATTTTTTCTAAAGCATATTTTGTTTAGATGTTTTCCTAAACACCTTTCTATTCATTATATATATATATATATTTTTTTTTTTTTTTTAAAGATTTATTTATTTATTTATTTGACAGACAGAGATCACAAGTAGGCAGAGAGGCAGGCAGGGAGAGAGAGGAGGAAGCAGGCTCCCTGCTTAGCAGAGAGCCCGAGACAGGGCTTGATCCCAGGACCCTGAGATCATGACCAGAGCCGAAGGCAGAGGCTTTAACCCACTGAGCCACCCAGGTGCCCCTTATTATATATTTTTATCATTATTATTTGGTTCTTTTTAGAGAAAGAGCACGTGCCCACTTGAGCGCACAACTGAGGCGGAGGGAAAGCGAGAGAGAGAATCAAGCAGGCTCCATGACTTAGTGGGAGTCTCTCACACGGCTTGATCTCACTAAACCCTGAGATCATAACCTGAGTGAAATCATGAGTCAGATGCTTTAACCCACTTAGCCACCCAGGCGCCCCCACTGTATTTCCAGTCATTTTCTGTACTTCCTACACAAAGTAATTAACCTCTGATTATTCCTCTGACAGAAATTTTTTAATTAAAAAAATTTTTTTTATTTAATTGACAGAGAGAGAGAGAGAGCACAACAGGAGGAGTGGGAGAGGGAGAAACAGGGTCCCCACTGATCAGATGCGGGACTGGATCCCAGGATGCTGGGCAGCCGTTTGAGCCACCCAGGTGTCCCCAACAGAAATTTTCTATCTTCCATCTTATTCCCCGTAGTTAAATAACTCTAGGTAAATGACAAAAATAAAAATCTATGTACACTCAAAATAATATTAATCACTAAGGAAACTCTATAGATAGCATCCCCCCCCAAAAAAAGCCACCTTTTCTTAAATCGAAAAACCACATGCTAAAGATCTACAAGACAGATTGCTGTGCTCCTCACCTCTAACACCCATACTTCACTCCTCATACTCTGATCACCTTATTCCCCAGATATCCAAAGGTACTCCTAAGTGTGTAACTCTATGGTCTGTCACTCTGTCCCCTCCACTTAACAATCACAATAAACCTGTCCTTTTAGGACAATGCTTCCCTAGTTGTGGTGCATAACAAGGGAAAAGTCAAAAGAGAAAATGGGATCAACAGGATTGTACTATTTCAAAAGCTCTGCTTTATAAAAACAGCTAAATTACTCAGGGATATCATTAAATATTTAGACGATACAAGGGTTTTGGTTTTTGTTTCGCTTTGTTTTGTTTAAAGAATGAGCATAACTGTGTGTGCACACAGTTCTGTGTAATGGTCCTCAAGATCTCTGGCTTACTACAAATTTTTCTATTCAAACTGTACCAAACTCTATACTATAGATCCAAATCATTTCATCACCATCACTCACCCTTCAAATTTAAAACATGTGTGGCTGTTAACTGAATGTCTGAGTAATGCTTTTTATAACTAGTGTATTTATATAGGGCAAATACAAGATTAGTCGGGAGATGGTCCAATGTGGTGAATGACATTCAAGTTCTGTGGAATCTCAACTCTATTATCCCTCTCTCTGGTGTCCCTAGTTACTGGAACCAGTTTACACACTTTATTTAATCAGCCTCTTGGCATAATTTTACTATCTAACAGTAATTATGAATCTTATTATCTTGTTTTTTCAGACTGTTCATAATAACCTTACATCAATAGGTAGCTCTCACACATCCACACACTACCTTCCACCATACATGGATATATTCATATATAATTAATTGTATTTATCTGTTGCTATATTATTGGTCAGAAATATAACCCCATTTTAACAGTGCTCCCAAAACAAGACAGCTCTACAATGCATGTACCAAGAACACAATGAAATAGATATTGCTTGTTTTCATAAATAACTTTATTCTTTCCTTGCTGAAACTGTTCCTAGAACATTTGACCTTAATGCTTATGAAATAAGTTTCTTAAGATATACTTCTCCTAGTCCTCTTAATCTTATAAATATATGCAGCATTTCTTAATTTAGGTCAAAGTTACTTCCGTTTGCCAAATCACTGATTTTCTGATCTCATTATTTTGAAATATTAAAGATTTACTTTAATATTTATTTATATTTTAATAAAATTATATATTTAAATTTATATAAATTAAATTATATATTTAATTTTAATTTAATATTTATATTTATTCCCTCTACATTTACTTCTAAATAGGACTTCCTACAAATGGAAATCTTTTGAATACAGGGGTTTAGTTTAATTCCTCTCTTTACAGATGATAAACCAAAACGAGTAGGGTGATTTTTTATATTTTGGCTACTAGGGAAAGCAAAGTTTTAGTGTCAGCATTCTCTTTCTAAAATTTATTTTTACTAAGATTGAGACCTTACACTTGCCAGAACCAAATAATAATACCAAGCCCCTAATATACTGATCCCTTCAAGAACTCACTCAGTACTCTACTTAATAAACGAGCCTTTCCATCTTTTAGATACTATTTTTCCGCATAGCTAGCTAGGCATGAAATGTTTATTATGAATGAACAAATATGTTAATTATAGGAAAATCTAATCAGCAAATGCAAATTTTTCCTACTTGTCACCATCTCCTAATGATTAGACTATTTTATCCAAAGAGATCATAATTCAAAAGTACTCTTAAGATTCTAGAGACTTAATTCACATAATTAGGGTTGTGGTTGGCCTACCTATAATTAAAATCTGCTATCTTTTTAATAAAAAGAAAAAGTCTTGAGGTACTCATCAAGTAGAAGAGGGTTTAACAGTCTTCTATGAAGGAGCAATTTCCTCACCTCCAAAAAAAATTATTTCTAGAGTTTATCTTTCAGAAGGAAACTATCAGCACAGTCACAATTATGAAGAGAGACTGTTAAGTGAAAACACTCAATAAATAAAACGTGCTTTTATTAATTCACTAACTTTTCACATTTCCAACTAAAACAAATACAAGCTTAAGACTCATCAATCCCCTATCACATCAAATTTACAAAACAAATGAACAGGGTTTACAAAAATGCACAAGTTTGAATAAACAGCAGGATCCAAATGTGGGGAAATAAATTAAAAAGACTGGATAGTAATATAACAAAACATTAACAGATATAGCTGAGGGGTGAAATAAGTGATTTCTTATTTTCTTCTTTACACGTTCCTATAATTTTCCAAATTTTCCCACAGTTTACATTTATTACTTTCATAATCAGAAAAAAAAAAAACCCTCATTTAAAAAAACAGGCCGTACATCATATAAAAACGGTTCATTCAGGAAGGTTCTCCATATTATACAAGTAAAACTGACATGATTCACCATTAAAGATAATATCTCCACACTTTCTCAGTTTTCAACACTAACATGCTGCTGTTTTATGTCCTATTACTTTTCTACTGCATCGCCTAATGTTTCATTTCTACATACATTCACGCTTTTCATTTTTTACATACAACACAATAAAAGTCTCACTGATCACTTAAATCCTACCTCTAAACCCCGTTATGAAAAATTAGGGGAAAAAAATAGATGCCTTTACCTACTAATTACAACTTCGTGAACCCACCACCATCACTTTAACTACGGAAAAGTCAAGGCCGGGTAAACTACACGTCCCACCATGCACTGCTGCCTCGTTCAGAGTAGGTCTCTACGGAAACTGAAAAAAAAAAAAAAAAAAAAAAAAAATTCTACAAGTCCCACCTGTTACTTCGTTTCTAAACACCTCCTGCACTTTCAGCTTCAACAGCAAACAAAAACAAGAGCCTCGTGACCTCACGTTGGATCTGGGAGCCCAGACGAGCAGGGGACCCGGGGTCAGGCGGCATGTCTGCTATAGCGGGTAAATTCTACCAAGATCCAGCGCTCCTCTCTTCTTTCCGGGGCTGGGTGCACGCACAAGCCTTCTCCTATCTGCATCCAATGGGGGCTCTTCAGCCGCACAAGGGAGAAGAACCGGTTACTGTGCAAGCACAACAGACTTCCCCATGCCGGGGCGGGAGCTACCACAGAGTGGAGGTGAGAGCGACGTGACCCCGAAAGGCAGCTTCAAAACACCAAGGGGACTCGTTGCAGACGCATGGAGAAGCCACAGCCCCGCGGCGACCCTCTTCCGCTGGGCGCCTCCATTCCCACAGGGATCACAACCCCGAGACTAACCGCCGCCCTCTCCGCGCGGTTTTGTGCCCCTTCAGCCGGGTCGCTGGGCCAATGACCTCCCTTCCCCTGCGACCGGCAGGCGGCGAGGAAACAAAATTCTCCCGGGCTTCCCCTTCGCTCCCTCCCCCTTACCGTCTTGGCGGCCTCCGCCCAGGTCCTGCCCTTCTTCCTACGGCCCTTTTCCCTCATGTCGGGTCTTGAACTGACTGGGAGGCTCCCGTGTCCGGGCTCCGGCCGCCCTCCCTGCCTGCTCTGCCCTGCGATGCTTTTCCCGCGGTGCCGGGAAAGGTGGGAGAAAGGGGAAGTCAGGCCGGAGGAGCACCCAAGCAGAGGAAGCGGCGGGGTGGTGCGCGGGGGGGCGGGGAGGGTCTATGGGGCGGCCGGTCCTCCTGCTGCCGTTGCCACTGCTACCGCCGCTGCCATATTGGGTCCTTACTGTACAGGCAGCCGCTACGGTCACGTGACCGCTCCCGCGCGGCCGTCACTACTGTACGCAGCCGGCCGCGCGAACGTGCGCGCGCGCGCCCCCGCCTCCCGCGCTGGCCTGCAGAGCTAACGAGCCGGCGGTCCGCGGCGTCTCCTCACTCCCCCGCCCTTCCGCTCGCCGCCTATCCTTTGGAGCATGCGCGGGAGGGAGGTCCGACGCTGCTGTGCGTCGGCCCTTCTGCGCTCACGCCTACAGTGAAAATCTGCCTGCGGAAGCGGAACTTGATCCATCCCGGAAGGCTTAGGGAGTGTATTCTGACCGCGTGCTGGACGCCGCGGTGGGTTTAGAACATTGGCAGAGCCGGACTTTTACCTCAAAGGACGATCTTCCTGGCTGTCATTTTCAATAAGCCTCCTACTTGTGTTTTTTTCTTTGCCCATGTTCATTTTTACAAAGGTTATCTTTTTGACGATTTGCAACAGTTCTCGTCTGCTTACTACCCCCTTTCGATAGATGAGAGATGAGTTTGAGTGACATACGAAGCTCATCTGTCCAGGATGCGGACAAACAATCAGTTCACCAGCTCGGATCCCTTTTTCCAGCTCCAACAATGTCTCTCAAACTTAGATGATTCCCCACCCCCACCCCCGCTTTTTTTTAAAGGCCACAAGTAACATCCAGGCTTTTTCAAGTGAAGAGTCTCATCAAGGACCCGAATGGTGTCTTTTTTGTCTGTGTGACCTCAGTCACTGGCACAATGCCTACAAATATCAGGAAACGAATAAATATTTGCTTAACGATTCATCTAGGTCTGTGGTCGGAAATAATTATTTGTAGTGTCCATAGCATCCTCCTGAAGAATCCCGAATGTGGCATCTTCCTTCATGTTATCCATGTTTTTATACTTTGCAAAGTAAAACGAATGTGTGTACTAACACCTCCTGTTCTCCAAAATACATCTGCTTCCAGAAATTGTTTCCGGTCTAGTTTAGTAAAAGGCGAAAGATGTATGCGATCTGAAGAGAAACCAGAGTAAATCTAGCCTCTACTATATTTTAAAATAGGACTGAGAGGCTGCCTCTTGGAAGGAAAGAATGGTGAGAGCAATCGTTAACTTGGAGTCCATGGTTCGGTGTCAGAAGTTCATGGACCCCCTAAAACTCTGAACAATATTTTGTGTGTAATTGTGCATTTTTGAAAAGAGGATTCAGGGGCTCCTGGCTAGCTCCGTTGGTAGAGTGTGTGACTCTTTATCTTGGCTCTGACTTCTCGCCCTACATTGGTCATGGAGTCTACTTTTTATTTCTATTTTTTTAATATTTATTTATTTGAGACTGTGAGATCAGAAATACAAGCAGGGAGATTGGGAGAGGGAGAAGCAGACTTCCTGCTGAGCAGGGAGCCCGATGAGGGACTCCAATCCATACCCTGGGATCATGACCCCATCCCAAGGGAGATGCCCAATGACTGAGCCACTCAGGTGCCCCTGGAGCCTACTTTAAATAAATAAATTAGGGGCTCCTGGGTGGCTCAGTTGGTTAAGCAACTGCCTTCAGCTCAGGTTATGATCCTGGAGTACTGGATCAAGTCCTTGCCTGCTTAGCAAGTAGCCTGCTAGACCCTCCCCTTCTCCTGCTGTCTCTCTCTCTCAAATAAATAAATAAAATATTAAAAAAAAAAAAACAATCTCGGGACACCTACGTGGCTCAGTCTTTAAGCGTCTGCCTTCAGCTCAGGGCATGATCCCCTTGTCCTGGGATCGAGCCCCACGTTGGGCTCCCTGCTCCGCAGAGAGCCTGCTTCTCCCTCTCCCTCTGCACACTGCTCTGCCTACTCGTACTGTCTCTCTGTGAAATAAATATATTTTTAAAAAAACTGGGGGCTGGGGCGCCTGGGTGGCTCAGTGGATTAAGCCTCTGCCTTTGGCTCAGGTCATGATCCCAGGGTCCTGGGATCAAGCCCCACATCAGGCTCTTTGCTCAGCGGGGAGCATGCCTCCTCCTCTCTCTCTGCCTGTCTCTCCACCTACTTGTGATCTGTCAAATAAATAAATAAAATTGAAAAAAAAAAAAGACTTTAAAAAAATAAATAAATAAAATTAAAAAATAAAAAAACTGGGGGGGCGCCTGGGTGGCTCAGTGGGTTAAGCCTCTGTCTTGGGCTCAGGTCATGGTCTCAGGGTCCTGAGATCCAGCCCTGCATGGGCATCGGGCTCTCTGCTCAGCAGGGAGCCTGCTTCCTCCTCTCAGCCTGTCTCTCTGCCTACTTGTGATCTCTCTCTCTGTCAAATAAATAAATACAATCTTTAAAAAAAAAAATTCTTTTTTTCAAAGGGGGCTGTAATACCAAAAAAAAAAAAAGTCTTATTTTATTTTATTTATTTGTCAGAAAGAGACACAGTGAGAGAGGGAACACAAGCAGGGGAAGTGAGAGAGGGAGAAGCAGGCTTCCCACCAAGCAGGGAGCCTGATGGGGGGCTCAGTCCCAGGACTGTGGGATCATGACCCAAGCCAAAGGCAGACACTTAAGGATTGAGCCACCCACGTGCCCCAAAAAACCCAAAACAGTCTTATTGGGAGTTTGAGAGGCCATCTAGATATGTGCTTATAGTTCTCCTTCTGGTACTGATTAAACAGCTCCATAACAGTAATTGAGATGGGTATATTTTCACAAATCCTTTTAGGAACTCATAGCATTATCCATAGCACTCAAGATACGTACCATCTCCCTCTAAACCGTAAGTCTAGGGGCACCTGGCTGGCTCAGTCAGTAGAGCAATAGAACATGCAACTCTTGGGATTGTGAGTTTGAGCCTTACCTCAGATGTAGCAATTACTCAAAAATAAAGTCTTTGGGGACACCTGGGTGGCTCAGGCAATTAAATGTCTGCTTTTTGCTCAGGTCATGATCCCAGGGTCCTGGGATTGAGTCCCATACTGGGCTTTTTTTTTTTTTTAAAGATTTTATTTATTTATTTGACAGATAGAGATCACAAGTAGGCAGAGAGGCAGGCAGAGAGAGAGAGAGGAGGAAGCAGGCTCCCTGCCGAGCAGAGAGCCCGATATGGGGCTCGATCCCAAGACCCTGGGATCATGACCTGAGCCGAAGGCAGAGGCTTTAACCCACTGAGCCACCCAGGCGCCCCCCATACTGGGCTTTTTGAAAAGCAGGGAGCCTGCTTCTCCCTCTGCCTGCTGTTCCCACTGCTTGTCTTCTATCTCTCTTTCTCCAACAAATAAATGAAGTCTTTATTAAATAAATAGACAAATAAATAAAATCTTTATAAATAAATAAAGCAAGTAAGTAAGTCTTTGGGGTTGGGATGCCTGGGTGGCCCAGTTGAGTTGAGCATCTGACTTCAGCTTGGGTCATGAGCCCAAAGTCCCAGGATCAAGCCCGGCATTGGGCTCCCTACTCAGCAGAAGTCTGCTTCTCCCTCTGCCACTCACCCCACTTGCACTCTCTCTCTAATAAATAAATAAAATCTTTAAAAAAAAAAACCTTTGGGGCACCTGGGAGGCTCAGTTGGTTAAGCACCGGACCCTTGATCTCAGCTCAGGTCTTGATCTCAGGGTTGTGAGTTCAAGCCCTACATTGGGTTCCACACTGGACATGGAGCCTGCCTAAAAAATAATAATAATTCTGGGGTGCCTGGGTGGCTCAGTGGGTTAAAGCCTCTGCCTTCAGCTCAGGTCGTGATCCCAGGGTCCTGGGATCCAGCCCCGCGTCGGGCTCTCTGCTCGGCAGGGAGCCTGCTTCCCCCTCTCTCTGCCCACCTCTCTGCCTACTGGTGATCTCTGTCTGTCAAATAAAATCTTTAAAAAAATAATAATAATAATTCTGGGGCGCCTGGGTGGCTCAAATGGTTAGGCACCTCCCTTCAGCTCAGGTCATGATCTCAGGGTCCTGGGATCAAGCCCTGCATTGAGCTCTCTGCTCAGCAGGGAGCCTGCTTCCCCCCCTCTCTCTGCCTGCTTCTCTGCCTACTTATGATCTCTCTCTGTCAAATAAATAAATAAAATCTTTATTTTTAAATTTTTTTATTAAATTTTTTTAAATTTTTATTTATTTATTTGACAGAGAGAGACAGCAAGAGAGGGAACACAAACTGGGGGAGGGGGAGGGGGAGAACCAGGCTTCCTGCTGAGCAGGGAGCCTGATGTGGCAGGGAGCCTGACGTGGGGCTCCATCCCAGGACCCTGGGATCATGATCTGAGCCGAAGGCAGACACTTAAAGACTGAGCCACCCAGGCTCCCCTAGCACAGACAGTTTAACAAATAACAATCTTTCTGACACATGAACACAGAATACCTTCTCATTTATCTGTGTCTTTTTCAGTCCTTTTTTTTTTTTTAAGATTTTATTTATTTATTTGACAGAGAGATCACAAGTAGGCAGAGAGGCAGAGAGAGGGGGGGAAGCCTACTGTCCACTGAGCAGAGAACCCGATGTGGAGCTCGATCCCACGACCCTGAGATCATGACCTGAGCCAAAGGCAGAGGCTTAACCCACTGAGCCACCCAGGTGCCCCTTCTTAAGTCTTTTTCATTAAAGTCTTATAGTTTTCAGTGTTCAGATCTTTCACCTCATTGGTTAGATTTATTTCCAAGTATCTTATTCTTTTTGATGCTATTATGAGTGGTATTGTTTTCTTTTTTTTTTTTTTTAAGATTTATTTATTTGACAGAGATCACAAGTAGGCAGAGAGGCAGGCAGAGAGAGGGGAAGGGAAACAGGCTCCCTGCTGAGCAGAGAGCCCGATGCGGGACTCGATCCCAGGACCCTGAGATCATGACCTGAGCCAAAGGCAGAGGCTTAAACCCACTGAGCCACCCAGGCTCCCGAGTGGTATTGTTTTCTTAATTTCCCTTTCAGATAGGTCATTATTGCTATGTAGAAACACAACTGATGGGGCACCTGGGTGGCTCAGTGGGTTAAAGCCTCATGCCTTCGTCTCAGGTCATGATTCCAGGGTCCTGGGATCCAGCCCCACATTGGGCTCTCTGCTCAGCAGGGAGCCTGCTTCCCCCGCCTCTCTCTGCCTACTTGTGATCTCTGTCAAATAAATAAATAAAATCTTAAAAAAAAAAAAAAAAAGAAAAGAAACAAAAATGATTTTCCTATATTGGTTTTGTTCTGTTTTTTAAAGATTTGC